CAGCAGCAACAGTATCAGCCTTCTCTCAGTGTCAGGAAAGCAGCCGCTGTGTCAAGAGTGGGGCTGAAACTAATTATTATTTTCATTATCAATAAAACTGTCAATTGATCTGTTTAATTAATAAATGAAAGATGATGTAGAAGAAATTAAAAATGGGTGACTTACAATGTTTATTGTTATGCACCAATGTACCAAGGCAAAATCCTTGTATGTGCTAAACTACTTTGCAATAAAGCCACACCTCAGGCCAATGGTGACTTTCCATCTAAATCACTGATCGGTTTTACTGAAGTTTGGTATATTCTTGGTATATGTAATCTGTATATTCTGTCTTGGTCTAGGGTTTGTGTATCATAAGATTAACTGCAGCCAGGGTTGTGGTGAACTAATCTGAAAAGAGCGCAGGGTTAAGAGACCTTTTTCTTAAAACAATTTAGGACAAAGGAGTCTTAAGTGGGAGGAAGATTAACATCGTCAGGGCTAAGCATATTTTTGCTCTATAATTATGCCTTTTCCTTATATGATATGTAGATAGTACTACATGCACCTGAACACAACATCACTGTAACCTCTCTAATCATATCTACCCCTCCCACTCCACACAGCATCTTGTCACAGGGGGCCTGTGGGCCTCTCCTCTCTACTTGATAGATGACATTCACACCATGTTCACTGGAGTTGACGTTCACTCCACCTGTTCTACCACCTCTTCATCTCCTATTCTAGCTGCCTTATCACCCGTCTCTCCCAGTGAGGTACTAACCTTGGTCACCTCCCACCACCAAACACCTGCGCTCTTCACCTGATCCCCTCTCACGGTCACAGAGGAACTCCACACTGCTAGAGCAGCCTCCCTCTCCTCTGCTCTGCTGTCACCCTGCTGGACCTTTCAGCAGCGTTCGACACCGTGAACCACCAGATCCTCCACCCTCCAAGAACTGGAAGTCACAGGGTTACAGGGTAACCTGGAGGGAACCTGTGTTTGAACTTGCAGCCTCACTACTGGGGTCCCTCAGGGTTCTGTTCTGAGTCCCCTGCTCATTTCTCTTTAGACCAATCACTTGGCTCTGATATTAACTCAAATGCATCAAGATGATATGTCCGTTCCTCACCCAGGAGGCGGAGCAGGTTCTGGTCCAGGCCCTTATCATCTTACTCATACCTCCTGGTAGTGTACCTGCATGTGCCATCCGACCTCTGAAGCTCACCCAGAATGCAAAAGCTCCACTAGCCTTCGGCTACCGGTGGTACTTGCCTGCTGTGCCGCAAATGACTCAGGCCCATCCTACATCCAGGACATGGTCAAACCAAACACCCAGCCCGTCCACTATGCTGCCAATCAGCTTGCTCCTCCCTCTCTACGAGTGGGGCTTAACTACCACTCAACAACATCACAAGTGTTTCCTGGCTCCACAATAGTGGAACGAGCTCCCCATCGACATCAGGACAGCACAAACTCTACACCTCCCATTGCAGACTGAAAACTCAGCAAGTTACATGAAAAGATGCTCTATAGGAACAATAACCAAATGAAAGGCAAGACCATGATTTAGCCTGAAGGCATTAACCACACTTGTATCACTCTTTCCCCAACACTGGATACAAAGCAAAGATACCTAAACAAACTATTAACCTACATTAAATACTAGATCATTACTCCTTTGCTACTAGTAAGAAGAAGAAGGCTCTTTATTAATTCCTCTAGGGGAAAGTCAATTTCAATTTGTTCACACTTTTGTATATAAATAATTATACACATATGTCTGAAATACATACACAAACAGCAAGTGGTTTTGCTCTGGGCCCAAAGACAACTGTCGAGGAAGGCTGCCCTTTGTGTTGTGTATCACCAGTATCTATTAATTTCTATGGCTATTATAATACTGTATTCCCCAAAGGACACACCTAAGGCCAATCAAAACAAGTGCACCCTTTTCCTAGGAAGTGGTTTCAAGTCTGGATCCTATTACAAGAAAATGAACCTAGTACTTTAACATCATAGTGATCAATTGCTGGCAACTAGCTCTAGAATCATTAATTTTAGGGCTATAATAATTCTTGTATTTTTGTAATAATACAAAATTACCGAATGACTTTTGATTGATGCTTTTAATAAGATGTCAAATTATAGGCTAATACTCTCTCATCAGCAATTCACCTCAGTTCACCAAGACAGAGGGATTAGGACGGTTGCCAAGACAAAACAGATTGTTGTAAGTGTAACGTTGAGCTAACCTTTACTGGAATAAACCCTTCCAGGCAGCGCTGGACACTGGCTGTCTGCTCATATAAGAAACTCACTAAGTTACGTTGACTCTGGAAGAAGGTTACAACAATGTCGAGGAGGTAGTGCTGCTTACCATCATTTATTATTGGAACAGAGTCGTTTAAGTTACTTAGTGAGTTGCAGTTGAACATTAAAGGTATTTGACAACCAGAGGAACAATGCGGGAGCAAACGAGATAAACAGGAAAATCCTGTGCGCCTGTCTGGCAAAGTAGCAACTGGCGTTATTTAACTAAACTAAACGTCGGGTAGGCTAATATTAATTGGCGTGACGTTGGCACCTAAATGTCCATAATAGTTGAACTTCATTTGACGAATTAACTCAGACAACAAGTGGCAATAAATGTACCTGTAGTGTTAAACCTGACATGGTGGCTGTCAGTTTTGTGTGCTGGACATTCACACAGCGTCAACGTCCGCTCCAGCTCCCAACGGTCTTCTTCGGGTCAGAAAGTAGGTGAAACAGCTCCAGGAGGAACAGCACGGCTAGCGAAGGTAAGTTACACTGACGGCGGCATGGGAAATTCAACGTCTGCTAAAGCTGTTCAGATGCGCTCCATAGTGGCGCAATTGTGTTCATCATGGAAACAAATCGGAGTAAAAGTTTGAATTGAGTTAAACTACAGATTGACGCAAACTGACGTCAGCGGACGGTGGCTGGATTGGTTGGCAGTCGGTAATGACAGACACGTTGCAGGAACCAGTCACGTTCGATTATTCAATGCACCTGCCGAGGTCGTCATGGCGCATTCACGTGGACTATGGCCTTCTCCCATACCTGATTGATACCTTCACAATTAATAAAATGCTAACCATACCCCTACATTTGTGACAAATATTGGTTAAATAAAGCAGGGATAAAGGTAAACTACACAACAACACCTTTTAAACATCGCGGCAAAGCCTCTACTTTTTTCCTTGTAATACGCAGTGGTGGAAAATAATTAGGTACAGTTGCTATTGGACATCAGTACTTTTGAGGTTCTTAATACTTCTTCATACTACAGTTCAGAGGGAAAACATTTTTACTCCACTACATTTATTTGATAACTTCAATGACTTGATACCTGAAATGACTACATACTTATACATACAGGTTCAGATTAATAATACACAAGATTAACAACAAATAAACTATGATGTTAATGTTACATCATGTGTTGTTCCTCTGCGGAAAAGTGCATTTAGTCAGAGTGCCTTTTCAGTCACAGCAGTACAGGAGTGGAACTCTGTCCCTCAGAAGATCAGAGAACTCACCACATACACTAACATAAACATCTAAAAAAAACCTGATTCATAATGCATCAGACATGTCAACATTAATAAGAATATGTATTTTTCCTCAACCCAACCGTGCTGCCACTTGTGTCTCTGCTGTGTCAATGTGTAGTAGAACTTTTTTATTTTTTAACCTAATGTCTGTATTATAGCAAACCTGTACACTGTATTTATCAACAGGATTTGAAGAGTTACATCTGTTTTACTGCTCTTTTATATTTGTATTGTTCACTGTAATCTTCTTATTGTTGGTTTTTTTAGGTAGACAATTTTAAGATCTGTCCAGGGACAACGGATGAAAAATAGCCTTTTGGCTAATTCTGGTGCATTTGCAGCAATGTTAATTAATGTACACTGTCCCTGTCAAATAAACTAATAAATAAATAAACATGTTAAGAGAAGGGGGTACTCCATAAGCTAGCATTATAGCCTATAAAGTAATAACAATCCGATCCACCTTTGCAAGCTGCAACATTAAAAAGAACTTAATGCATAAATAATTATAATAAAATTATATCATAAATACCTCATTCTGAAGTGGGCCATTCTGCATAATGACTACTTATAAGTATATTTTGATGCTAATACTTTTGTAGTTTTACTTCTAGAATGCGGGTCGTTTATTTGTAGCAGAGTGTTTCTACACTGTGGTAGTGCCATTTTTTAAATAAGAAATCTGAGTGCTTCTTCTATCTTCTTCTGTCATAGGCTGTATGATGTAAATTAGTTATACTAAGTTTGTTTGCCTCCACTTTTCAAACACCAGTCTCTCTTAAAATGAAAGGCATTAAAAGGAAAGGTATGGCATTTTTGGAGTAATATATTTTGCTCAAAGGTTATTTACATTACATTTACATTACATTAATTCATTTAGCTGACGCTTTTATCCAAAGCAACTTACAATTGCTATACATGTCAGAGGTCGCACGCCTCTGGAGCAACTAGGGTTTAATTGTCTTGCTCAGGGACACAATGGTGGATGGGTCACAGTGGGGGATTGAACCCAGGTCTCCCACAGGTTATGAACCCAATATAGAAAAGCAGCTGGATGGAGTACAAAGGAATGGGAACTTTTAGGCTTGTCAGAGAGAACACTAACCACCAGTAATATAGAACCATATTGATAAGATAAAATGTTACAAGCTCTTGAACCAACAGTGGTTTACTGTACACTGTGTATTTAATCTAATATTGTTTGACCAGTGGTTATACTTTGCAATAATGGAGCTTCAAAGTTAGATTTTGCATTCAATTTTCTGAACATACTGTGAACACACTGTGGACTTGGATGGACAGCCACAGTGAACAAGCACTTGGAAACCTACAACTACAGTTTTGAGTTGAATGTTCGGCCTGTTGCATTAAGTCGCACTCCAGCCAGCTGGGGGCAGCAGAGCACCATAAATATGTTCACCGACCGAGCGCGACGGAGAGAAACAAGCGTGTGAAGCTGCGCTCATTCTTCCTTATCGTGGGCTTGGAGACACGCACTTTATGTAAGGTGGAACTAACTTTTATCCTCCAGAGAAGAGTTATAAACCACCCGGAATATTCATCTGGTAAAACGTGTAACGGCAAACGATAATCATGTCGGCCTCATCGGCGAAAGTCAGTAGGAAGGACAATTCAAATCACGACGGAGCTGACGAGACCTCTGGTAACGTTAAGGAATGGCGGTTATCCTATAACGTTACAACGCCATTTTCATTTGTTTTTCGTCATTTTGTTATTTTCATTGTAGTTTGTTGTGTTGTATCGAGTTGAAATGCTATATGTTTATGGATAAACAGCTTAATTTATCCTTTCTTGTATATAGACAATGGGGTAAAATGTTGTTGATCAGGACTGTTCAGCAATGTAGCATGCTAGCATGGGCTAACTGTTTAGCCAGCGTGAGAGGTTAGCTAGCTATTAGCTTACATTAGCTTCTAGTTCACATGAAGGAGGCCGGTATTTGCAATGCAAAGGTTGCATTTATCGTGATGTGCAGTTATTGTAGACATTTTTGGGAGTTTTTTTTGCAAGGAGATAAGTTATTAAAGAAATCGCATGCATGAGTTCTTCATATACGTTTATGGCTGGAGCTTCATAAAGGATTGTTTGACCACAAGTGCAACATTCACTGTATCCCGTGTCCCATCAGACAAGAGAGGCCGAGCACCGATAATGTTAGCTGTTCACAACAACCGGGCTTGGCTTTGTGTGCGAGATAGTAGTTGAGCAAAATGTAAACAAGCGCTTCTCATTAGTTTAGATGGCGATAATGTCGCTGCGGGGTGGCGTTATGAAAGCGAATGTGTTTATCATGCTTAAAATGCTCTGGTAGACCTCGCAGTATGTTGTTGTCAGTGTGAAGCACGAAGCGTTTCGCAGAGACACGCCGTTAATCCGTTCATTCAAACCAGGCCGCCTTTAGCAGCAACAGGAAGCTCCAGACTAGATGAGGCAGGGGCTGTTAGCCGTGGATCCAACACACACACACACACACACACACACACACATACTCACCCCTACCTCCTGGCGTCCCGCTTTATTTAACACCATGCTCTCAATGGAGAACTCACTGAGAATCGAGTTCGTGTTGCTGGAGTATCGGGTATTTGCTACACCATAATCACGATGAAATATGTTCTGCGCATGAGACCAGTGAAATACATAGCGCAGCGCCTGTAGCCATCTGGTTAAATATCCAGCAGAACATTTTTTTTGTCTTTGGGTGAAATCTCACGATTAGTACTCGTCGTGGCCGGCTAGTTTAAACAAATAAAGTGCTGCGGATAAAGAAAGTGTTAGGTACATGCTAGGAAGCATCACTTATTATTGGAGCTCACCTGCATGGCCCAACCCATACTGGCTTTTTGTAGCAGATCTGATTTTAATAGTTGTCAGTTTAAGAATCTTAGTCTACTTTCAAACTACAAACCACTGATGACTGATTCACCTACTACTCTGATTTCGATCTTACACAATACATCATGTCATGGAAGTGTATAGATGAATATTATCAAATTTAAGTAGGGCTTTAATGGCATGGGGAGCAGACGTTTACATTGCCATGGCAAGTGTGAAATAAAAAGCATACAAACAGAACAACTGTTGTTAAATATATACGTTATAAAGAGAGTATAAACTGCTTAGACTGCTTTGGTATATTGGAGCGTCATAAATTGTGTGTGTGTGTGTATGTATGTGTATGTATGTATATATATATATATATATATATATATATATATATATATATATATATTTTTTTTTTTTGTATGTACAGTATGGTTTATTTAAATAAAAGTGCTGTACAGTTTTTACATTTTTAGCAGGGAATGTGCAAAAGTAAATATTGTGACATTTGAAGAATATTTGCAATGTGCAAGATGGTCGTCCAGAAAATGTTGGTTTTTTTACGTTAATGTAATGTGTAGTGGGGAGGTAGAGGGGTCAATATCAGTGGGGTCCTGGGACTTGTTGATGATGCCAGCTGCAGGTGGGAAGAAACTATTCTTATGGCGCAAGGGTTTAGTCCTGACGGACCGCAGCCTCCTATTGGAGGGGAGAGTCTGACTTTGTTTTCTGGGGTGGTGGTCGACACACACTATTTTTGTGCATGTGGATTAAAGAAAGTTTACTTTCCTTTCAGAAAAAGAGCAACAGGAAGCAATTGAACACATTGACGAAGTACAGAATGAAATTGACAGGTGAGTTAGTTTTGTTTGTAAGCAGTGGTAGATGGGTGTATGGAGAAAATGTTCTTATTGGCATGTTTTTGTCTTCTTTCTACCCAGACTTAACGAACAGGCAAGTGAAGAAATCTTAAAAGTAGAGCAGAAGTACAACAAATTACGCCAGCCATTCTTCCAGAAGAGATCAGAACTCATAGCCAAAATCCCCAACTTCTGGGTCACAACATTTGTCAACCATCCACAAGGTAAACTGCTGTATTTTGTTATTCTTTTATCAGTCATTATGTGTGAATGGTGAATTTAACCTTAAGAGCTAACTTTGCTTGTAACAGAGGAGTAAACAGCCCTTGTCTCAATGTATTTACAACTGCTTTATGCTTTTAAAAGTTATGTTTATGTGTTTCTCATACGCACACAATGGTCTGATCTGCTTGGCTTCTGTGTCTGACCTGTAGTTTCAGCTCTTCTTGGGGAGGAGGATGAGGAAGCTCTTCATTACTTGTCAAGGGTGGAGGTCACAGAGTTCGAGGATATCAAGTCTGGATATAGAATAGATTTTGTGAGTTGTTGGCTTAACTTTGTATTTGTCTGTTTTAAATGTCATGTCATATGCTGATAGAGATGTGTTTTTCTTTTCTGTAGTATTTTGACGAGAATCCGTACTTTGAGAACAAAGCCCTCTCCAAAGAGTTTAATGTAAATGAGAGCGGAGATCCAGTTTCCAAATCAACTGAAATCAAATGGAAAGCTGGAAAGGTGAGTTTGCATCTTTATTTGGCTTGTATGTGATTTATATGAAAAATAATTCTTATCTTTTTTTAATATTACCCGCAGTCCTACACAATCTCATTAACCTTGGAGTAGGAAAACACTAGCTCTTTTCCATGTGTAACAATGGTATTGTCTTTTCAATAAACACTTTATAAACTTAAATCTTGACCAAACACATTTCCCTCCCCAGGACCTGACGAAGCGTACAGGCCAGACGCCGAACAAAGCTGGGAAGAAAAGGCAGCACGAGGAGCCAGAGAGCTTCTTTACCTGGTTTACCGACCACTCGGATGCAGGAGCTGACGAGCTGGGGGAAGTGATCAAGGATGACATCTGGCCTAACCCGCTGCAGTACTACTTGGTAGGCTGATTGCTCTTTGCCTTTGTTTCTTCCAGTCTCAGAACGTTCAGATAGAAAACAGCCCTGTGTTAAATCGTTGCAAGGCTCTTTGTTGGTGGGGGGCGTGTATATGAAGTCCAGATCCACAAGTTTGAAGGGTTATCGGACAAAACACTGTACATCCATCCATCTATCCATCGTCAACCGCTTATCCTGCGTACAGGGTTGCAGGGGGCTGGAGCCAATCCCAGCTGGCATCGGGTGAAAGGCGGGGTGCACCCTGGACAGGTCGTCAGTCCATCGCAGGGAAAACACTGCACAGTGGTTTCTAATCTGAGACAGGATTTTACAACTCAACACAAAGTTGCCACTGTAACAGCTAATTTAGAAACAACACAAATACTGTGTTTGTTATAAATTAATCCACTATGAATGTGTGCTTACATGTGTCTGATTGGCCGATGCAGCACAAAACCGGAAGGCCCTAGTTTTAAATCTTGTTTGTTTTTTGTTTTTTTGGCACAGCACTCTGTTGGCACCCCCGCTGTTTCGGCAGCTGTGCTTATAGATTGACTTATAACAGATATTTTGTAGCAATGTATGTGGCTGATGAGTATGTTTGAGGTAGTATAAAAACAGTGTCTCCATTTTTATAGTTGGTCCAGCACTGAAAAGTTTATTTTCCAACTGTTAAATGTCCTTCCCGCTACAGGTCATGGTGAGAAGATAGAAAATGTTTGGTAAAGTTCAGTGTGTATGTCAGAAAAATGTATGTATTCAGCCTATTTGCTCTCACATAAAAAAACAACTCATTGATATCTGTATCACCCTCCAAAATCTGTAGGTGTAGTGTTATACTAGTCTAGAGGTAATGTGAGGGTCAGGCTTCCAAACAGCAGGGTTCACTGCACTGGAGAGAAGGAGATCTCATTCTGTTACTAACACACAGGTATTTAGGCATGTAAAGCCAGGGTCAGGTGGCTAATGTCTGAATGTTCCCAAGGTCCCTGACATGGAAGATGAGGAAGGTGACGGCGATGATGATGATGAAGAGGAGGGTCTGGAAGACATTGATGAGGGGGAGGAAGAGGAAGATGAAGATGAGGATGGTGATGGAGAAGATGGAGAGGTAAGGATACTGTACTTGAACCAGTAATTGTAATCCATGATAAGTAGGATGAAGACTTTCTGGCCCGAAGAAGTCCCTGAACATGTTTTAATAGCAACATAAATGACTTCTAGCACGTTCTTCTTGGAACAGTTGATGTGATCCTTTTTTTGTTTTTTCTTTCAGGATGATGGTGAGGATGATTAAACATTTCAACCAACACCACATCCCAGGCCTCCCTCTGCGATCATCCTGCAACCTACGGGAGCAAAATATTTTTTTGTTTTTTGGGGAGGGGGGGGGGGTGAGGGTGTTTGTTTAAAAAAAGAAAAGGAAAAAAAAATCCTGTGTGTCGTCAGCGTGTCCGTCCTCTTCCTCTGCAGCCACGGCCTGTCCATAGTGCCATGTCTATAGGCCAGCTCCATACACAGCAGGTCTACATGGGGTGCAGTGGGTTGGGGTGGGGGTGTCGGTGGCTCCTGGAATCTCACCTGTATTGTTTCTCTACATTTCCCAAAGACATGCAAAAGAATTAAAAAAAAATTTGTAGCATTCTGCACGTCATCCTACGTAGATTTAAAATACGTACAATAGCAATTTCTATGTAAAATATGAAATGACAGTTTCTGTTGGAGTTGTGAGTTCAATAAAAATAAGCCATGGTGCAGTGATGATTTAATCATAGCATCCTTAGCCACTTTATATATAAATGTATATTATAATATATCCAGTGGTGGGGGTACTAAGGCTTATTAGAAGTTGCATTTTCCTTTTGTGACTTATTGTACTAATGGAACTGATTAAACGCACCAGCTCGTTCCTTTCAACCATTGTAAATGTTTTGGAATATTCATGTATCTTGGTAAGACCGTTGTTAATTGTACACAGTTTAATGGGGAGGTGTGGCAGGGCTTTGACAACAACTCTGGACGTCTGTTGAAGACATTTTCATTCTCTTGTTTTTCAGGCACTCAACAAAGTTTGAAATGTACATTTTTTTTATAAAAACCTAAAAATCAAATTTTGAGCTTTGCTTAACCTTAGGTTTCTGTAGAGTCCTCTGTGGAGTCTGCAGCGTTTCTCCTTTTCCACTGGGAACCTGTTCACATTAAATTAAGTGTACCTGTTGCTTTGTTACAATAAATAAATGTATACATGCTTTCTGGCGTAGTGTGATCACATTTGGGCATTTCGGCTGCGGCTCGACAAAATCCGCAAAATGCTTTGTTTTTCACGTTCTTGCTGCCTTTAGGCCAGTCCAGAAGTTAGGTAATTACACTTTCATATGAACTATGTCTAGCAACGGTGAATGGATTTCTAAATAAATGATAAAACAGACAGGTTCATTTAGAGGTCCTTTTTCCCCCCTCAGACGATAAACGTTAAAGCAGACTGTCCCAACAGACAGCTGCATGGCGGTCTCAGTCCATGGTCTTGCTAACAGTCTGCTGTTGGACCAGCGGTCGCTATTAACCTGATCGGTCCCCCGCATTACACCGGACTTTTAATAGCAGGTCGATTTCGATCATATTTCTTGTGAAGCATGTTTTCATGTGTAGCTCGTTCCAGCTCAGCAAATTGAGCGACGACAAATAAGTAATAAGCCTTTTTAGCGGCGTGAACCCTAATTACTGGTTTCATATTAGGCTTCGGTCATAAGAGGGGTGCACTGGGCCGGACAGGACACACGCGATGGCTCTCGTATGTTAATAGGATATGAGCAGGTGAGTATGTCACATCACGTAAGTTGCAAAACAGGACCATTGACTTACAGAAGGGTGCACGAGGAGAGGATTGTTACATATACATCGCACCTTCACCAGTTCACTGGTCTGACTTGCACTCTGGATAGAAATGCATCCTTCTATAGTCAACATTTCAACGTTCATTTTATGATTACCTCAACCTCTATCTTCTTGAAATAAACGTGATGTAGTTCTCCCACCATTAGGCGGCAGTGATACGGCACCTGGGCGTTGAGGAAAATGAAAGGCACACATTTCTGCCTTTGTCACCACGTTGGGTTTGGCGAGACAGTGAGAAGTATTTCAGACAAATATAATGATTCTTGTTGCTGTTGAATTTCCTACATGTGATTTTAATGCTGTACCACAAACTCAGTCACCTCCCCTGTATTGGTGAAATATATATCTAAATATCGGGTGTATCCGGCTTACCAATGAATGTAATGTAGCATATTGGTAATTTGGGTGAAGCGACCCAAATATGCAAATATTATTGCATTTAAGCAACAAAGAACGCCCTGTAATGAGCTTCTTGAAACGGCAGAAATAAAGATAAAGGAATTATATCTGGCTAACAGTAAAACATGTACCTACAGTGTACTTTGATGATGCTGGGCTCCTCCGGCATCCTTCCCAATATAACGTTACTTGGAATCTTTGTGCAACTGCTCAGGCTAACCTGTTTGCTGTGCAGAAAAGCGTTCAGGTTTAGAAGCTATTGTAAAATCACAGCGGCACACCAGAAGATTAAAAGACTAATTCACTTTCTGCTGTTGTGCCACGAGTCCCTCTCACAGTTTGGAGGGAGATGGGCTATCGATCCTGCTGCTGTGTGCTGACAACAACAATTTCATAAATTCACTGCATTCTAACGTTACATGTTTGGTCAGCGCAAGACGGTTGATCGATGCAAGCCGAAAGTGTGAGAAGTTGGCATGGCTGTTAGGAAACCAGGGGCAGGGTGCGATGACTCTGGTGGGCCCCAATTTAACAGGGGCCTCTTTCAGAGCAAATATTTTGATTTGCCACACCTAGCTCTAAATGAGATGCTGCCACTGAGCGTTGTTTATACGGCGCGAGTAGGCTAACGTTACTCGCGCGAGACAAGGGCCTCCGTAGATAGGCGTGCGGGGTTACGAGCATGCGCAAACGCGTTTGTTCAACAGGAAGTACAGATGCATCCGCAATATATTTTCTTGACATTATTACAGCATACTATTAGGAAACAATTAAAATATAACATCATGTGTTGTTAAGTGTGTGTTTAGTTTAATTTTAATTAAAACATATCAATGAATCGACATCAAAACACTTCTGAAAGTAAAGCTAGGAATATAATCCTGCAAAAAAGCGGAAGTGAAAACGGGATTTCTCTCTTGCCTCTGGACATACTCTCCGTAACCAAGGTAACGCTAGCTTTGTTGAAACTGGCTGGCAACAGCGTACAACGTTCAGATGCTTGAAAACTGTTCGAACTGACCGAGCTAGCTGTTTGAAAAGTGGCTCGCAGTTACAACTCTGAATGCAGTTAATGCTGGTTAAGATAGTTAATGTGTCTTTAGCCCGAGCAAACCTCATTCCTTAGCATGTTTACTGACGAAGTCGTGGACTCCGTGAGTATCCAGTCTCTGTGGAGGAAATCTCAGCAGTCGTCGCAGGAGTCGGTAAGTTACGTTATGTTTGAGCCACAGTGCCAACTCTCAGTCCCAAAGTGCTCTGTTAGCACGAATCTAGCACAGTGTACTTGTTGCCTATAATTGCTGAATGTTTCATGTATTGCAGAAACAATATTGTTCCTACAGTAGCTAGCTACAGAGATAGAGCGATAACCCAGTAAATTAAGTTAACGTTACTTTCAACTTTACACTGCATTAACAGGGCTGCGATTTCCCCAAGACAACAGCCTGTAGCTTCAGACCAAAACCACTTGAATACGAGATATTGAATGGATTCAATTGTCTTACATTAATACGTATAAACAACATATTTGTTCAAGGATAATCAGGGTATGAAATTAGCACCTGCCAAATACAGTGTAAATGTAGGTAATAATTTCAGGTCTGCTGTCAAGTACCACTATAACTGCCAGTATTTACAATTCTAAAGTATTTTACACAGATCTCAGAAGTGGCCGACAAAAAAACTGAGTGGAGCTGAAGCAGTCACCTAAATCTAACATTTTAAACAGTAAAAATTGTGATATCTGGCCACTCAACACAAAGCATCAATATTGCACTTAACTGCAATTAATCGTAGAACTCAAAATTGTGATTGATTGATGTGCATCCCTAAATAGAAGGGCTTTATTTTTCTGGTGTTTTAGAGAGGCTGTCAGACCAGAGTGGTGCACAGTGCTGAGGCAGAGGCCCAGACTGTGTCAGCTACCATCAGCTGTACCCAGACGGAGCCACAGTACCAGGCGACACAGCAGCTCTTTCCAAACCACGATAAGCTGGAGCCGCCCGGCCTGAAGGACTTCCTGCAGCGGGTTGAAGACACGGTCATCAGAGAGTTGGTAAAAAATGCCAAGAGTCATGCCTTTGATGGGTTCCAGGTGAACTGGGAAGATCACAGTCAGCTGGTAAGCAGAACCAATGAATGGAACAAAGATGGTGTTTTCTGATTTCTTAGACAGGTGACAGCTTTGTTAGCCAAAGGAGAGTCTGTAGTTGTTCCTGATGACATGTTTAAATATTTTTGGAGCATTCTGGATGCAGATTGGGGTTGATTTAACTTCATGAAGAGTTCTTTGTTTTACACTGTTCTTTCATGTTTGCAGGTTTCATGCCTTCATTGCCTTCAACATCCCAGCGCTCACGAGAGAGGTCTTCATGTAACCAGTGTGTCCTGGAGTTGTACAGGTTCAGTTATCGTCTGTGCCTACGGTCGGTACGTTAGTGTTTCACCTGTATACATTTCATGTAAACAAACCTGAGACTCCGCCATGGATGTCCTCAATGTTTTCCCCCTCACTTTAGTCTCTTAGTTTTCAGGGTCAGGTGTGTGAGTGTGTGTTTTTGGTGTGCAGGATTGATGATGGAGACTGGAGCACTGAGGGCTCATGTGTTTGTACATGGAACCTGGACCGTCGGGCCCTGAACCCCAAGCAAGCCGATCTGGTCATAGATGTTCCCACTGCAGTCACTGCTCTGTGCTGTCACCCCAACCAGCCGGCCCTCATCGCAGGTACACTGCCAGTATGAGCTTTCACATCGGGAACTGATAACAGACTCTGTATGCCTACAGTCTGAATCAGGTCAACTCAAATACAAATATCTTATCTCAATGTCAGGTTTTTAAAAGTATTAAAACATGTAGTTCAGCTGGCAACAAAAGAAAGCTGGACTCATTCATTCCTTCATTCAGTTCCTGTTGTCGTAGTTTATAATATTCATAGTTTAAATTTCCACAGTGTCAGATAGCTAATGCTGAATTCATGTAATGTCAGCAGAATGGTTGGAATGAATATACCTACTGTTATTCTATCTATGGAGCATTTCTTGGGTTATTCCAAGGTGTTTAGCCCTATTGCTAGCCTTGTAGTCACACCAGATAGAAGTATTATTGTTGTACGATGTATTTGTAGTGGTTTCTTAACCGGTGTAACCACATACAAAAACAGATTTAAGTGATCCCTATCAAATGTCAGTTTTTGTGTATGTGATTATGGAAAAAATGACTCCTGATCCATCATTATCAGATTTTTTAAGATCAACTATCCTGCTCAAAAATGTCAAAAAAAAGTCTTGGATTACAAATGCCACAGCTGTGTTCAAGTACCTGCAAGACTTCTTCCCTAAGCTTTCTGAGGTAAAGATCAATGCCGATGTATACAATAATTATAACTGATACATCTTCATTTGGCCCGGTGTCAACTTCCACAGGAAGCCTCTTACAAGTGTTTCAGCAGCGGAGCGTGCAGCCTGCCCCACGTTCTAACGTCACGTTATGACTTGTTTATAATATGTCCTTTTGTGCTTCTACTACGTTCTTCACAGCTCGCTGTGGCCTGTCTTCGTTCCATTGTATGCAGGCTGCATATACCACAGGGAACATTTCAGAATTGTCTGTTTTAACTGGGTTTATTGTTTATATACAATTGGAAATCTGCATAAACTAGAATGGCTGCGATCAACTCCGGCAGCCGCGACGCATACGGACTCAGTGGACTTTCGGACTTCGGGGACGTAGTCTGAAAGTCCAGGGTCATATAAGCTTGGTATAGATGACTTGGTAGCAGGTGGGCCCTGTGATGAAGCTCTGCCCCCACTGTGCTGAGAGTCTACCTCTGCCCCTGAGTAGGACTAACCATATTGCATATATTGATTTTCATGAGAAAATCGGTGGAGTGCCCCTTTAAAGAAGACCCTGAGCCATGCAGATGCCCTGAACAATAGACCTTTTATAATGTTGTCC